TCGTAACTGTTTCTTTTATGTTTCTCACCTGATGATCGATGAGGGTGCATATTAATTATAACGATTATGGCGACACATTCGAGTGATCGATCGCGTGGATTACGTCGGCACTTTGTTGTCGTCGGTGTAATTACATCGTTTTGAGCGAACGGCTATTGCGATATTTTGTATCAACTGAATCTGTTGCGTGGCCTCCGATAAAAATGAAACATTCGTGATGTTTGCTTGGATCAATTGCACACTTTACTTTCCAGGATTAAACTCACGTACTAGTATTTAATTTCTGGTTCTATCTAAAAATGAGAATTCTCTACAAATGTTCTAGCCATTTCAATGGCATCGCTCTTTTATCATCAATACTTCGAATAAAAGCTCGTAAAAGCAATTGTTGAAATATACGAAAAATTACTCGTGACAACGTTATCAAACGTTTTATCAGTCGCTCGACGTCCGTTTTGTTACAAAGCAATGTGTCATCTACACGCATATCGCACCGAGGCACACCATTAACCAAAGGATCATTTTCACGCGTGCATTTATTTCTTTCAACTTCTCCTGGACCTCCAAGTTCCATAATAGAGTTCCGAAAATACCGGTGCTTTTGAAAACGTGCCAAACGATGCATTCTTGCATATAATCATTCCACCCGGAAACAGAAAGAAAGAAGCCACTTTACTCTCGCGTGCAATGCCACGGAGTTTTCCTTACCCTTGCGATGTCGCTTGCCTTGTGTGAAAGCGATGTGTAAAAGCTGCTTTTTATTGACGGTCGTTTCGATGATAAGTTTATGAATGGTCGACTTTGTCATTAACGAAGTGATGCAACTTGTACGTAGGCAGAAGAAATGCTCATTAGGTAATTAATGGATGATGAATAATGATTCATCTATTGAAAATGTTGAAAAATCTCTAACAGCTGCAGAAGAAAATTTTTTTTTGTATGAATGAAATTTAATGGAAAACTTGCCGTGGATTGACATTTTTTGTTTGCATGCACGTTAACTTTCAATCACTCAAATTCAATGTGAAGAAAGAGAGAGGAAAAAGAGAGAGAGAGAGAGAGAGAGAGAGAGAGAGAGAGAGAGAGAGAGAGAGAGAGAGAGAGAGTTGATGTTTTAATTGTCCACACGCGTGCATTGTGTGCGCAAAAAGCAGTTGTTCAAAACAAAGCGAATTCAGAAACATGTTCGAGCAAAATGAAACAAAGAAAACTGTTCGGTAGCCGAATGAATATCAAATCTCAATTAACGAAGACCATTCTTCATCTCATATAAGAAGGAAGTTTCGTGATGCGCGATCAAAAGGCGAAGAGGAGTAAACAAGCGGTCAAATTAGAAGGCCAAAGCCGCCGCCGGCCAACAGGCGATGCTCATTCCCGAAGCCCCGGCGCACGCGACATCGACCGTGAGCTGCCAAAGTTGCTGCCGCCACATGGGAAAGTGAAAACGATTGCAGTACTTTTTTTCTTTCGGAAATTAACGGTTAGCGAAACGTTGGGTAATTCGACGGCGGCATTAGTGCAACGAATGGAAATCGCTGTGCGGGCTAAGAAAAAAAAGAACGTTCCAAAACCGGTTTTAATTGCCCGCGGACAATTTTCGAATGAAATTAAATTAATGAAAGAGAAGAATCTCCGTTGCTTCTTCCTCGTTTTATTTACTCGTCTCTGGAATATTTTGAAGTATTTAAGTTCGAAGGATGAAGTCTCGTTAATGAATATTGCGAGAAGCAAGGTCTTGTTGGTATCGACTTTCTCCCTGTCTCTCTCGTTTGTTGAAAAATTAATTCTCGCAAAACAGAGCCGCCGAGTAGCGCGATTAAGCCGCGTAGCCGTTAATGTTTTATGCAGCTAGCGCGGCACTAGACTTCCTCGTTGCAGCGTTGTTTTTCCATTCCATTCGAGCGCCGACCGCATTTGCCGTTGTTCACGCTCGACGATGAATGACAAGCCTTGTAAAATTGCATCTGTCGGCGCGCGATTTCCTTTCATGAGCGCGACGATCGCTCGTTCTTTCCCCCGGCGATCGAGCGCGCGAACAAAAGTTTGGCCACAAACTCTGGCTGTGCGAGGGAAAGTCGCCACGTAGGTTTTTTACATAGGTTTTGTATCCCACGCAGACGCTCGCCGACTCGTCTAGTCTGTGTGGGTATTCTAGGAGGGGGATCGATGCGGATCGACGACGACAGCGCGAGATTTTCTTTTCTTTTTTTTTTTCTTTCCAACGAATCACCGCAACGCGTAAGGCGAACGAACTTTTGTTGTGTGACTTTTTCTTCCTGCGCGCGCGCGCACGTGCGTTAATAAAAAGGCGTTCGATTGCGAATCGCTCGTAAACGGAGTTTCTCAGTTTCTAGGAAAAGCTCAGATGACTATCAATTTCCACGATCGTTTATCCGGACTAGCTATTCGTCTCGAGGAATAATATCACTCGATATGCACGCGAGCGTTTCGATTGGAAACAATGGCAATACAACAGCAGCCGAACAAGGTGTCTGATCGCGGTGAAAAAGGTCATCGGCAGAGCAAGAGCGATATCTCCGCAGCGCGTGAAATTAAACACTCCGATGCAATTTCCTGAAGGGGAGGGGAGGCAAAGTTATTAGGCCATTTCCTCGACCATGTCCCTCGCCGTGCCCCAACTGTTCGGCGTCGTCATTTTGACGATCACGAGTTTGCCACGGCGTCCTTTGACTGTCGCTATCTTTGAAAACAACTATCCAGCTCTCTTTTGAATGCTCGACCGACGCCCGGCTTGTTCCCTTTTGTCGTAAGCGATTACACGTGCTCCGAGGCTTTTTGGAGATGCACTTTTTTTCTGATCACGTAGAAACATGGAGGAGACTTTAAGAGCCGTCCAAAGTGAGATACGTATTATCGAAGCGGCGTTTTGCGAAGCGATAATTTTATTATCTACCGGGAAACGCAAAACAATGTTTTATTTGCAGAGAACGGCTCTCGAGTCAGCTGTTTTGATAAAAGGCAAAGTGTTTCGCCGCCAAGGCAAAAAGTGTGCGCGTGCGTGAGCAATGCGGCCTTGCTTTTAAAACTGTCATTTTCGCAACTTCATCGACGTATTTTCGATGAGGCGAGCTCGTTAAAAATACAATGTATATCAGCGCGGATGATTTGTCAGGACGTTGACTCGCATTTTTTTCTTGATAAATGTATCAACTTTTGTTTTTGGACAATGAGTCGATTGCAGAGTGACCAATGTTTTAATCGGATGCTCGTAGTGTGACGTTACGATGTGGCACTTGAGTTATCGTGACGAAAGTGCGCATACCCACTTGAAGTTCGAATAAAAACTGATGGGAATACCATTGGAACATATCTCAATTGCACAAAATGATTTTTCTTCGATTGTCAACAAATCGAATCTCTTCGATTACATAAAAGCTCGCGTGACGCTTGCAACTGTTTCCCAACGGAATCGGCGAGAAGAATCTCGCTCGAAGGCGAACCATTTCTTTACTCTCAATGTATATAATTGTCGTCGTCGCATTGCACTGGAGAGAAAAAAAAGAGGTCGTAACTACGGTGGTTTCCTGTCTCTTCTTCGAAAGCTCCTACTCTCGTCGTTGCGTGAGTTTCACGCAGCAGCTGCAAGGTACTACAAGGACGAGGACTAATTACAGAGAGAAATTCTTTATTTATTAAAACGGAAGAGTTTTATACTTGTCTCCTTATGCGTTTTGGTAAACTGAGACGTTGCTGCTTGTTTGCATCACTTGTAGTGTCAACGGGATCGAGTGTTTCTAGCGTGCGATACTCTTTCGTGACTCATTCTTTTACGACGACGTATTAGATGCAGCATTGACGAGCGGATTTTTCTTTCGAAAGATTCGGAATATAATTTCAACTACAATCACTGGACAATATTAATGTTCATTCGATTTTCTCAAAGCCACAATCAAATCCCGACGCTCTTTCACACTAATTTTAACGTAATTTTGCAAAAGAAATCGAATGAATTCGACCAAAATCGTATTTATCTCGCTCTCATCGAAAATGAGATAATATCGTTAGAGGTTAATCCTTTCAGCCCATTAAAAAGCAGCAAGTAGAAAGCTTCTTTTTTCAAAATCTCTAATCCGATTTTAGGTCTGCTGCACTGTAGCGCCGCGTGATTTTAATTTGAGAAATATCGACATTTTTTGTTGTTGTGCACGGAGCGAAGTAAATATCGATCGAAACCTATTTATGGCTTGATAAAAATAAATTCAAGCATATATAGCCACGTGGTAGTTCAATAAACTGTGTGACAAATGTGTGATTGCCTGTATCTTCTCGGCTAAAATTTATTACGACAGATGATTTATAATGAAAACGTTCATTATTCAAAGACTGTTTTCTGTATTGATAATAGTAACAAGAAGAAACGAAAACTTCGCTCTGTAATCGAATTTCACGTTCAATTGAAAAGAAAAGGGAAAAAGCAAAATTCTCAACGAGCTTCTTTTTCATTTCCAGGTGAATGCACTAAACGACTCACACCAGCAGTTGATGGTTCACTGGGTAGGCGAAGGTTCAAACGTAATTATCTGTTTGGCTCGCGACAGTAACCCTTTGCCAAGGTCGCCTTTGGGTGTTCAACCAGCAAGTCAAGCCAATCCAAGTGCCGTCTATTTTAGCTACGATTACGGCGATAATTTTGTCAACGTCACCGAGAAATTCAAACTCAACGATGGGGCTACACCCGTGTATCCCGTTATCGACAAGTTTTATAATCATCCGACTGATAACAATGTTGTAAGTATTTTTGTACCAAAGAAGTTCACACTTTAGTCATTTCAATCGTGGTTTTATGAATCATTATCCACTTAGTATTCATTTCGTGTTGCTTGCCAGAGAACATGACACTTAAACGCCAGTGATAACTATAAAAATTAAGTGGCCAACCCATCAAAAATCTTCTATGCTCTACTTTTTTACGAACGTATAATCACATTTTTTGTCCTTATTTCAGAGTGTTTTTACGGATAGTACGAATAAAATGATCTTCGTAACATCCGATCAAGGAGTAACATTCGACAAAGCAAAACTTGAATTTAGTCCTAGTGAGTTGAACTTTGTCGACAGTCCGAATCTTGGAAATAAATCATCGTCGTTTCTTGTATTGGATAAAACAACACACGAACGAAAAGTAAAATCTTATTTTCCTTTTGATAATTTTTGGTGTAAATTGTTACCTAATAGATTACTAAAATCATTTTACATTTAGCTATGGTTAACGACAAATGGTATCCGTCAATGGACAGTTCTTCACGAATTCGTCAAAGCATTCTTCTGGACGGCAGGTTCATCAAAATCTCTATTAATCCAACGTCGTGAACCAACCGGTGACTACAGCGTTGTCGACTATGGTAGTAACATACAAAATTGGCGTCATCATACTTTGTCACGTACCTATCAGCTCGTAATCAACAACATCCAAGAATTCCAAATCCGTGGTGATTACATGTTCGCTACTAAAAAGTCGGCCAACAGTACTCTCGGACTCGAGCTATGGATCTCTTACAAAAGACAAGCTTTCGTCATGGTACAATTGGACAACGATTTACCAAGAAAAGAATTTCATATCGCTGATGTGTCGAATGACCGGATTTTCATCGCTGTAGCTCATACTGAAACTGTTGTCCATTTGTACATTAGTGAGAAAATCGATAATAATACGATCAGATTCACAGAATCGTTAAGGAACGTTCTTACCTTCTTCCCTAATAACACCTGGAAAGATAGCTGGTTAAAGTAAGTATATACTTGATCTTGCCTTATAAGTTTCGCTGTTAATTTATTTTTTCATTAATAGTCAATAATGATATACGCTTTTGCGTGGTGTAAATGCTTTATTTTATCCTAAGCTAGTTTTCTTAAAACTGTTTTTTAAGTAACTAGTATATTTCACACATTTTATTTTTTTTATCGATTTGTTTTGCTTCGAAACCTCGTTATTTAAAATTATTAATTGAATAAAATCAGTTATTTTAAAAACATTGTTTAATTTTTCAACAGTGATGTAGCCGATGAAGCATTTACCGAGCTGTACAAAGTGGAAGGTTTGCGAGGAATCTACATCGCATCGCAAGTACAAGGAACACCAAAGATCAACAGTATTGGTCCGGAACATTTAATGTCTTTAATCACTTACGATCACGGTGTCACATGGAACAAGATTAAAGCTCCAGAAACGAATCACAAAGGAGCACACAACCAGTGCAACCCGGACATTTGTTCGCTACATCTTAGTCAGAAGTTCAGTCAACTGTATCCAGTGTCACGTGCAGCATCGATCATGAGTTCAAAATCAGCCCCTGGAATAATCCTGGCGACTGGTGTAATAGGTACAAGTCTCAAAGGTCATCCATCGTTGTACGTATCGAGAGATGCTGGTCTCACATGGAAACAAGTTCTGCAAGACTATTATTTCTTCAATATGGGTGATCACGGTGGTGTGCTCGTTGCTGTTAAGTATTTTAAGTTGAGAGGAGAAACTCGAGATATCTCGTACTCCATTGACGAGGGAGAGACTTGGCAAACATTGGAGTTTACGGAAAAGATGCTCAGGGTTTACGGACTTATGACTGAACCTGGTGAAAACACTACCATATTTACGATGTTTGGTTCGGGAAGTGGACAACATCAGTGGCTCATTATCAAGGTTGATCTCAGAAAAGTTTTCGATAGGAACTGTACAGATGATGATTTTAAATTTTGGTCGCCTTCGACTCCATCGGTAATTACTAATTTGTTTTTTTTTTTTCTTTTTTTTTCATAGTTGATTAAATGTTAAAAGTATAATGTAAAAAAAACTTAACTGTAACTCATCGTTCAGGACATTTCATCAACCTGTGTGTTAGGCCGTAAAGAGATCTACAAACGTCGCAGTGCACGAGCTAATTGTTACACAGGAGTAAATTTTGATCGACCAGTAAAAGTAGAAATATGTCCTTGTGATACAGGCGACTACCAGTGTGACTTTGGCTTTACTAGGCAATCGAAACTACAATGGCCAACTTATGATTGCATCCGTAACAAAACCATGAAGTCTTACGATCCATGGGCAGTACCGAAAGATTGCAAACCTGGTCAATTTTATAATCGAACTAAAGGATACTTCAAAATACCAGACGATCAGTGTATCGGTGGTCGAGCTAAACTTTATGAACCAAGTGAGGTAATTGTAAATTTAATCTTATATTATTGAAAGCTTTGTATTTCGTTTCTGCATTATTCATTGTATTTATTTTATTGGATAGATTCCTTGTCCATTGAAAGAAATGCCAGAGTTTCTACTAGTAGCCCAACGTGAGCGAATTTCAAGAATTGACCTGAAAGATCCAAATGCAAAAGTGGAAAATCTTCCAGTACACAACCTCAAAAACGTCATAGCTATCGAATTTGATATGCAAAATAACTGCCTTTATTGGGCCGATATTGTGATTGATACTATTGGTCGTCAATGCTTTAAAGACGGCAAGAGTTATCCAGAAATTCTTGTAGAAACCGATTTAAGCTCGATCGAGGGTATGGCTCTCGATTGGGTTTCAAACGTCCTTTATTTCGTCGATGGTGTAAGAATGAGAATTCAAATTATCAGAACAGATATTTCAATGGCCGGAAGAATGAGAAGAACAATTTTGGGACCAAATAACCTTCAAAAACCAAGAGGAATCGCTGTTCATCCCGTTATGGGATACATGTTCTGGACAGACTGGGCACCTGGGAATGCCTCTGTTAACAGAGCCAACCTCGATGGCTCAAACGTCAAAGTATTATTCCATGACAAAGTTGAATGGCCCAATGGTATTACGATTGATCACATTGGTGAACGACTATACTGGGTTGATGCTCGACAAGACTATATTGGTTCTTCGGACTACGAGGGCAACAACTTCAAAAAAATCATTCAGAACGACTATCACGTATCGCATCCGTTCGCTGTGGCCGTATTCAAAGACCATATGTACTGGGACGATTGGAAACAGTCTATGATCTTCTACGCTGACAAGGATCATGGTGCAGGTGTGACGAGTACCAATGGACAGCTTGCTGGACTTATGGATTTAAAGGTATTTTTATTTCTTTCTATTTGCATTATCTACGTTAAATTGTACTTTTGTTGCACATTAATACATTATTATTAATTTTAAGGTTTTCGCACATAGCATCCAAACCGGGACGAACAAATGTGCTAATAATACGCAATGCACGCACATATGCCTTGGCGCGCCAAATGATAAATTCGTTTGTCTGTGCCCTGATGACATGATTATGCAGGATGGCAAATGTATGTGTCCTGGGGGTGTTGCACCGTACGCTAATTCAACTTGTCCACGTGTGCACAGTACCTGCGCTCTCAATCATTTCGCTTGCGACAGTGGCATTTGCATACCTGAATTCTGGAGATGTGATGGTGATAATGACTGTGGCGATCACTCTGATGAGAATAATTGTAACAAAGTCAAGTGTGCTTTAAATACCTTCACATGCGATGGTGATAAGTGTATACCTAAATACTGGGTCTGCGATCTCGAGAAAGATTGCAAGGATGGGAAGGATGAGGTAAATTGTACCTACACTAACTGCACCGACTTGCAATTCAAGTAAGTTTTATACAATCTTATTAATTTCTATACTTATGCAGGTACTACTAAATTTGAATTATCAATTATAATGCTTACATTTTTGTTCTATTTCAGATGTGAAAATGGCCGATGCATCTCACACCGATGGATTTGCGACGGCGAAGACGATTGCCGTGACGGTTCCGACGAAAAGAACTGCAGTACATCTATTCCTCTAAGCACTTGTAAATCTGATGAAATCTCGTGCAAATCGGACAATAATTGTATTCCGAAGACCTGGAAGTGCGACGGTGAGACTGACTGCGAGGATGGTACCGACGAGTCAGACTGTACTAGTGTCGAGTGCGAAGTGTGGCAATTCGATTGCAATGCCTCTGACAGAACTCACCGTTGTATCTACAAATCTTGGGTATGTGACGGCGATTCTGACTGTCAAAATGGTTCGGATGAAGCAAACTGTACGTCTTCGGAATCTCACTTGCCAGTACCAACGCCAACTCTCTTGCCTACTAATTCTTGTAATGATTGGATGTTCACCTGTAAAAACAAGAAATGTGTACCATACTGGTGGAAGTGTGATAGTGTAGATGACTGTGGTGATGACTCTGATGAAATTGGTTGTGGTTTCTCCGAAGTTCCATCTGCTCCTACCACTCCTGAGGAACATCCACACGTCTGCAGGGAATTTCATTTCCAGTGCTTTAACGGAGAGTGTATTGAGACTTCTTGGATTTGTGATGGATCTAAAGATTGTGCTACTGGAGAGGATGAGCTTTACTGTAATAATGGACCATTCAGGTAAAGTTTGTCATTTAAAAAATGAATTTTCAATTTAAAGAACGTTATCAGACTTATTACTGATCGTTTCTTTTTCCACAGCTGCAAGAACGATCAATTTCGTTGTTTCGTCGACGGATCTTGTGTACCTCTGACCAACATCTGTAACGGAATTGCCGAGTGTCCAGACGCTAGTGACGAGAGAGGCTGTGATCATCACCATACAAGTCCACCATCTACATCTTGCCCAACTGGTTACTTTCCTTGTGATGGTTCCAGATGTTTCCCACAGTCAGCTTATTGTAACGGTAAACAAGAATGTTATGATGGTTTCGATGAGAGTGACTGTGAAAAAAATACTACCAGAGTTTACCAGGTAAATTGTTTATTGGAAAACATAAATTATTTCTTTTTATAATAGATGTTTTAGAAACTATAGTGTATGTTATTAGGTTCTCAATATTGGAGTTGACGAGCGATCGACAAACGAATCGAGTATCATTGTGTTCTGGTGGATGCCAATACCCACCAACGTGACCTTTGAATTCATGCCTTCGATTGCTCTAGCTGAAGCTGGCGCTACTTGGACGAATGCTAGCAAATGGATCGAAGACACCGAGTATCAATTTAATCATCTTGAACCTTATACTCGCTACAACACTACCGTTTACGTAAAAGTTAAGGGACAGCCAACAATATTCCCCCCAGCAAAGTAAGTTTATATCTATCTAGATTTTTAAGAGCTTTTTAAATAGATTTTTTTGTATTCAATATTATTGGTTATCATGACAGATACTTGCAAGTAACTACTGGTGAAGGTCAACCAAGTGAACCGTGGAACGTGACAGCTGTACAAAGGAACGGTACACGTATCGAAGTATCGTGGCAACCACCTATCCACCCCAATGGAATAATTACCGGTTACGATGTTTTTATGTCGCCTCCAATACCACCAGCACCTATGCATCGCCAACCAAAGACTTCTGTTATAATTGACGACAACTTTGTTGCTGGGAACAATTACTCATTCCGTGTCGTAGCGAGAAATAAAGATCACGAGTCCAACCCATCAGCCATGGCAAATATTACCTTCGACGGTTCTGCCAACATCGACAATATCGAAGACTTGAAGGTTACTGACAAAACGAATCATTCCGTTACGCTTAGTTGGAAGAAGATCGACGCTGCTGATGCTTACGTTGTCACTCCACGTGGTCCACTCTCTTATCCGGCTTTAGAATCGAGAACAACTCAGTCTAATAATTTTGTCGTCGATGGTTTGGCACCAGGAACTCGATATACTTTCGAAGTCAGTGCTAAGAAGAAGGATTATGTTGGCAAGACCAGTTCTATTACGGGAATGACCAAAGATCAGCCTTTGCCATCGGTGACGATTTTGGAACCGCATCTCCTTAAGTCACATGGTACTACTGTGAAACTCAGTTGGGATCCTCCAAAGGGTACTAGAAAGATCAAGTGGCAATATGCTGTGCATTATGCTCTTAACATGCAAGATCTTTACAAAGGTATATACACATAAATAAAACATTACTTGTACTAGGATTGACAGCTTAACTCACCGATATTTTATTTCAGCTCCTAAATTCGTCACAACAAATCAAACCGTCACAATTCGTGAGTTGGAAGCTTGCGAATGGTACATATTCGCAGTCGGTGTGAAAGGCGACTACGGCGCTGGACCTCTCAGCCAACCAGTGACTGTTGCCACGCATTTTAATCCCAAAGCACCACCCAAGCGACTAAAGATAAACCGCGGTGAGAAACCCGACTCCATGATCGTCTCGTGGAGTTCAAGCTGCCAGACAACCGATGAAGCAACTGCATACACATTAACTGTCACCGAGATGGTACTCAATAAAACGTTGGTGTTCACCGTGGCTCCAACCAACGAAACAATGCCAAGACATCCCTTCCGAATCAAATACGGCGGTCGTTACAACATCACTGTAGCAACCGATGTCGAGGGTGCGATACCAAGTCAGTGGGTTGTTTACAATGCACCGCCATTGCCACCACCACACCAAATCGCAGCAAATTACGATCAAGGCAAATACCTTGTGAACTGGCAGAATCGAAATTTGCCAGAGAGTATTGCCAAGAATATCAAGTATCACATTGAGCTTTACGTGAATGAAGGTACAAAAACTGTCAATGAATCCACTGCAACAGTGTATAAAGTTGATCAACCACCATTCATACTGGAGAACGTGAAACCGGGCAAGAATTACGCATTTGCTGCCAGAATTGTCACCGATGAAGGTTACAAGAGTTCGCTCAGCGAAGTATTTGTTCCTTTCCAGTCTAATGGTCATTATACTAAACAAGTATTTTAAATTTGATTGTGATAAGATTATGATTATTTTATTTTCATTTTTGTAGCTGGTGAGCTTACAGCACCGATAAACACCTCAAGCATTGTGACTATTGCCGTACCGATTTGCCTTCTTGTGATAGCTCTGGGCGTAGCTCTCGCTTACTTTGTTGTTAGGAATCGTAGATTGTCCAATAGCTTCACCCAGTTTGCTAATAGCCACTACGACACTAGGCGAGGTCAAGCTACTTTCCCTGGCACTGTTGATGCTGGATTAGGCAAGTTGACTTTCTTCGTGTTGTGGGGTTTCTACTTACAATCTTATACTAATTTAAAATTGTTTTTTCATTTGTTATATAGGTGAAGAAGATGATAATCCTGTGATCCGAGGTTTCTCTGATGACGAGCCACTAGTTATAGCATAAGCTCATGAATTACGTATGTATCGCTGTTTAAATTCTTCATAGATAATTCGAAGAAAAAGCGAAGACACTACTAATCGATAGAGAGTTTGAAAAATTTACAGAAAGAATATAAACGTACTGAGACTAAAGAAGTGGAATAAACAAATAACAATGGAGTTGCGAGATCAATTACACACGCGTTATTTCTAGTCGTAGTGCGTCGACGATGCCTAACAATTGTGTATGACGCTTGATCTCGCATTTGAAAAAATATATTGCGTTGCTAGTGTCGAGAAATGAAAAGAATGAGTGAGTAGCGAGAACTGTACTACAGCGTGATCCGCCGAAATGCATTCAGATAGGTTATTACATGATTACGTATAACTAAGAAGTTTTTTCAGATTTACTTATTCTAATAAAATTTGGAATTCTTGGCGGAACCGTATTGGTGCTTCTCGACTGTAGACATTCACGATGCCATAATTATTATTGTACGTAAAGGCGTATATGTTGGATAATTTTTAGCTTTCTAACTGTTAAGACTTTCTACTTTTTTTTAATTTATAACTGTCTATTCTTATTCCAATTAAAAAAGTATTGTATCGTTTTCTGTATCGTCCTGTTATTTTTTAGCGTTTTCTCGCTGCGTCGTCTTTTGCCTGCAACAAACTTTACGTTTATATTTTTGTTGAGATAAATTCCACATGTTTTTTCTTTGATTATATCAATTTACTCAATTGATGAACTAGATTTTTGGTTTCGACGTTGCGATTCTCTTCTTTATTTTTTCTCTTTATTTAGTACAACATACGTACCTGTTCCTAAATATACGTGCAATGCGCGTCGAGTGAATGTTGTAAACTCGTGTATTGTCTCTAATAAACAATTGTATTTTTTTAACATTGCATCTTGGTATTGGGTTGTTCTGCATGTACACGTATAGTGAACAGTACTAGGCATCAATTAACACTTTTATTTTATTTCAATCGACACATCATGTCAAAATTACTTTTTTATATATACATCGCGAAGATAATGTGCTGTCGAATATTAATTCGAAATACCTATACGATGAATAAAAGTTATTTTTTGTATATCAAATTGTCGGAAGTTTTTTTCGTTGATTTGTAAAATACGGTTTAAAGAAAGATCATCTCATTTTATAATAATAAATATTTTTTAATTAATTCTTTATTTGTCTTATGCTCAGCACCTGCATCTACCATTTGTTTATATTTTCTTAAACTATTCAAGATTTATATTCACTCTGTTTCCAGCTGAAATGTTTATTTTTAAGCAACAACGCTTTTGTACCATAATAAACTTTAACTAATTAATATTAACAATTTAATTACGTGCTCTTTACTATTGATGTATTTAATATACATATGTCTAAAAAAAATTGGTATACTAATATTAACGTTATATAAAAAATGTGATTTTCCGGCCAAATTAAAAGTTTATTCATAGACAATATGACGAAATTTAATAAATTAAGGGTGCCTGTTTTCGCTATTTCCAAAAGTTTATAGACTTTAAGTCCTAAACGCAATACTTGATGTCTTTGTAAACAATTTATAAACGTGTCATTTGTAGTAGATTTTTGAATATGGCTACGTATTGTGCTGTGGTTTTTCTACTCTCGCATTGGAATAATTTTGACATACGACTATGAGTAATGTGATGGAAACATCATCGTTTCTTTCGCAAGAATAGAATTGTTGAAATTGCTTTCACACTTTTTATGCCATTTGATTATTAGCATTTAAACGACTGAAAAATTTTTTTGCATCAAAGCTAAGCAAATAAGAATGCAAAACTAATTAAAGACTTTGATGTTTTGTAAGAGAAAATTTTTCCTAATGATAGGAAAGACTGAGTATCTTTTTAAATTGTAACTGCTAAAAGAGACAATGCAAAAAGAAATTCAAAACTTATGATGATAATAAATGTAATTAAGAAAATAACTATATATATATATATATTTATATATATATAATATATATAAATAATATATATATATATTTATATATATAACTATATATATATATATATATATATATATATATATATATATATATATATATATATATATATATATATATATATATATATATATATATATATATATATATATATATATAATAATAATAGACTATATTGAGTGTCGATAAACGTTTAACATTTTTTTATAGGATTAAAAATTCAAGCTAAGTTTTCTAAATGATATTGGTATAAACAGGTGCATTTTAAATAAGATTACTTACACTTAAAAATACAGAGCAGTAGGAAACAGAGAAAGTGAGAAAGTGAAATAAAAACGAGAGATCGAACCGAGAACACGCTTTGTTTAGTAATACAAAAATTCAAAGATTTGTAACCGAAAATATGGATTGAAAAAGTGTTGGATTAGTTATAAGAGATTATAAAATGTTTTGTGTAACCATTAATGTTTGAACAATGTCATGGCCAGGTCATCTGTTTTGCTTTATTACTGTATCGTAGACAAAATTATAATTTTGTTTCCTTTTATGATTTTTGAAAAACAATCGTACTAAGTAACAAGTTTGCCAGGTGAAGTTATCGGCATATCTTGTTAGTTGTTGTACAAGTATTTGTATCGTTTCCAGATATAAAGTAAAAGTATATCAACAACGCTACGCAAGAAGAATATTGAGGAAAAAAATTTTGCAAAATATGTGCGTTCACATGTAAACGAATTTACAATTTATCCTATAATGTAACGTGTAAACTTACTTTTTCGCTCGTCGCCAGAAAAAAACAAGGAGAAATGATATTAAGGAAAGATTGGACGGCGTTATATTTTAACATGTACTAAAAACAAATGAGGGATATTACTTGTAGTTGTTATTACGTGTATGTACATCTTTGAAGATTATGCAGCGATCACAGTGATATTGATATATTATATATATGTAAATAAAGTGAGTTAAGGCACAAAGCAATTGTTTTCTACGTTATTAAGCACGCTTCGCGTGCTCCATCTTTCATGTTTTTCTCTCATATATTACATTATTTGAACCTTTTATATGCTAACTTGGAGATTCTAATGGGTACGAATAAGTCCTGCTGTTTAAAATGGACTGCATACATCAATATTCATAAATCAATAAAAATAGAACTTTCACCCATTTCTTCACAAAAACCGATGAACTTTTACTCGCTTCAAGATTAATTCAATCTACCGTCAATAAAGCTATTATATCATTATACAGCACTAAACTTTATATACTAAATAATAGTGATTATGGCTCCAATCTTATATTCGAATATAATTCTTCAAATTTAACGGGAGTAATATTCTAATAATTAATTTCCGTTGCTTGTATACTTCTTAATTTACAATATACCAAAAAAATTTAATCTCCTCTATTTTATTTTATTTATTTTCTCTATCTTTTGCTCTCGAAATAATTTATTAACGGCATATTTCCATTCTTGTAGATTACTATCCATGTTAACTATTCATAAATTGAATTTATTGCTAAAACATAAATCTCACAATCTTAAATATATCATAAAAATATTTCAAAGTATACGAAAATTCAAAATTTCTCGCTCTCTTCTAGCATGAATCAATCACAACGCTATGGATGTTGAAGACTTATTTTTTGAAAATAGGATAAAACGTATCACATTGCGACTAGCATTTGTGTACACTACAGTATGTATAGTGAAGATATTATATGAAATAATAAGCCATTTGATTAGGATATAGGAACTATAAAAATAGTTCAAATACTAAATAACTTTAATGCAATAAATTAATTTTTTTTATAAATTTTAGTAAATAGATAGTATTTTTATCGATATTTTTATTTTCACACAAATTGTATACAATTTCTATATATCTAAAATTCCAATTCTTTTTCTGGTTAAAGAAATCTTTTTAAATATTTCATAATAACTTCATGATCAGTACAATAAATTGTAATTTTACTATTTGAAGAATTTTAAAGATCTTTTAATATTTCATTATAATTCATAATTATTTTGTCTAACACGCGTCGCCGATATGTGATTAGCGGCTACACGAGCCATCAGCAGGAAATTTAATTTGGGAAATGTTTTCATCATTTTTATCTAGTGTAATTATTTACACCCTACTGAAGTTCGTTTTAAAAATAAATAATATTTGGTCGACTGTACGTTATTTCTAGGTGATTGCATGGAATCAACATTTTTAGCAGACTAGTGAAACGTAAAAATAGATAACAAAATATCGAGGTTCAACTCCACTCTTACATCGAATGATAACCGTGGTATCAGGTATCAAATGCAATTTTCGAGCAATTTATCATTTGTGAAACTTTTACATTCTGTACGCAAAGAATGAAGTAGATTCCATTCGATAGCAGTTGTATTTTTATCAAAACTTTCTTTGCATACAAATTAACGGTATGTCAAAAACAACAATGAACTTGATATGGCCTTGAAGTTAGAGGACTACTGCAGTATTAAACCTTTATCTCTTCGTTGCTCACTCTATTTTGCATATTTATGCGTTGAAGTACCAAATATTGTATTTGAGTATTCAAAAAGTAAAGCATTATGATATCTGAGATATGAATGTTGTGAAAGTAACTTATATACCATATGTGCACGTTAATTTTCTTGTTAAAAATTTTATCGATTAAAGAAAGAGAAAAGAATTTTCCGCGCAATGAACCAAAATTCATTAAAATAGGTATCTTTGACCTGCAAGTTTCGCTATACACGCATTGTTTTTGTATGAGTTTTGATCAAAATTATATGACATTTTAAGGTGTTTAGTTTCTTATTTTATATTTTATTATAAATTATAACTTATTCGGGTACCTTATATAAATTATTCAATATAACTAATATCATGATTAGCACTCAATAATTTAGATGGATAAGTTGTCCCGTCATTTTGGGTTGGCATCTGCACTTCATTATTTGTAATACAAATAATTTGGATGATCGGATCATAACAGTCAGCCGCTCGCTTGTTTCTCATCAATGCACATTTGTTTTGTTATCTAAATTATAGAATTATTTTATGAATTGGATAGTTGTCATAAAATAGTTTATATTAATTTGTTTAGTATTTCTATTTTCTCTTATATTCATTGTGATAAGATTTTGCAAAACATTTTCATATTATCTATTATTGACAATCCATTTAAATTTATAAATTTTCATTCTCTCAATTTTTAATAATTATACTAAATATATTAGACAAACAAGGAATGTGTATAAATGAATGTCAATAATTTACTATTACGCGAAGTGTAAATAGAAAATTTTACTGACTTTGCTTAACTGTGCCATGAACGACTACAACCATAATTACATAGAGGAAGAACATGGCAAAGATCGATCCTCATGATGTTAGCTCAAGCTTGAAAACAAGACTGATTTATATTGGAAAGATTTGATTTAAACTTGGATTTTTTTTTGAACTTGGATTATTTTAAAATATAAAAATTACAATATAAAAATAGATACTAAAGTAGGATTTGAATAGCAGAGTGTGAATGTTTTCGGCAGAATCTATTGCATGAACGATGGAACGCACAAATTATTACTGCCGAGACAATACAAACTCACTTAAGTAAGGTCCGTTGTTAGCACAGACGGGTCCCTCTTAAGACTGACCTCATTGTGCTCAGTCCCTGCTCTTAGTCTCTTTCACACGCATAATCAGACCAACACTTTCGCATGCTCGCACTCGTTAATCGACAGCGTTCAAATTCCACAACAGCAAGATAGAAAGAGCAACACCGGAAGAGGAAATATACAACAGTGGTCTTCTTTTTCGTGGCAATTGCGCACTTTATATAACTCGGTCACTTAAACTTTGAGACACACTGGACGAATGACAAGTGTTAGAGAAAAACGAATCGCGTCAGCTTGCACTCGGTCACCCAACGAGAGTTGTTATCCGCGCTTCGTTAGACGATGATACGCCTAATTGAACAAAAAAATTGGGTATGACCTGTATAAGGGATTTAGATGTAAAGAGGTGCATGATAAGAGCACATTCCGAGAGTGCTTTATGACTTCGAAATTAAATTTTTCTCGTAGAACACGAAAGACTTCTAAAATATCTAAATATAATTCTAAATTTCTAAAATAAAATCAGCCGTGAAAAAAGACTGACACGAACAATTTAGTTAATAATTATAGTGTTTCATTTATTATACTTACACATTTGTTTTAATATATTGCATTAAAATTTGAGAAATATATCACTTTTTTAGATCAAACCATTTTACTTGGCATTGTAAATCTTCTGACAAGTGTAGAAAGCTTGAATGATAAATAAATGTTAATACTTGATTTCAGATAGGTTGTCAGGAGAATAATCAAAAAGAAACCGTTGGATTATTGATACAGGCGCCAGAATGCTGCATCACGTTGGTGATGAACAATGGTGTGATTTTTGATTTTGGTTTTGTTGTTGAAATATTCTTTATCGAGACTTGTATGAAGAATATTTTTACATCTTATAATTACCAATAACATTTCTGTATCAAGCTACATTTATTAAAATTAAAAAAACTTAATCAATCAAGCAATGTCATACTCGCTTAATCGTACGTATCGACTCTTTAATATGTATAGACTAATTGCAGCTCCATTCAACCTTAGTCAGAATGTTTATACTGATGCGCTTCTTCGTTGCCGGGCTTATCGATATTTGTCAAGGAAATGCTACCATCGATACAATTCTTTTCACACTTAAAATTTTGGTTGAGAAAAAAATAATTTTTGATTCACTGTGGAATGTTATGTTTTTCATTTTTTGAACGCTTTAATATTAGAAATGTGCCTGATGAACGAAAATAAGAAATAATCAGTTGAAACTTAATTATGTTCATTCGATATTCAAAAACTTTTTTATTTTACCGTATGACGTTAACGCTATTAAAATTAATTTTTCTAATAGTCCAGCTCTTTATTTCTATAAATCTAATTTTACAATATGGTGATGCTCTCTTTTCGTTCACCTTTAATTGAAAAATTCAAAATTACAGCATTCACTAAAAATAGCATTCACTAGAGCGTGTTTTATAGCAACTTCCCAAAAAAATAATACACGAAAACTACTTATAAAAAGAGACCTCAAATGCTACAAATCTAGAAAAAAAAACTCGTGAACAGCGAGAAAATGATGAGCCGTTGGCAGCTCATTGTTTCAACTCCGGAAGCTCAGAGTCACTACCCCATTTTTTGTAAAACACGAACACTGTTTTCTGCGTGAAAAAGACGAAGGAGAAGAAAAGCAAAGAGCGATTGCCGGTCTTGTAAGAAAAGTCGAACGTAAAGCAGTTTCTCTCCCGAAAAAAACATCTTGCATGTGCATTTTTTCGACAATCTTTTATTATCTGCGAAGGCAAGAGAAAATGATCTTTGTTTAAATATTAACTCGTACGATGTGTACAGTGCGTCGCAACTGTACATTTTCAAGTACGTTATACGCGTATCCACTGAAAATCGGACGGTGTGTGCTTACAGAAAGAAATCTTTATGATCTGGTATTTCGTGCAGTGTCGTTTGTACGCTGCTTATTTTTTCAATTCGCAGTCATAGAATTGAACATGTCACAGAATTTCGCCAAAACGTTTCTTTCTTTCTTTTCTTTTTTTTCTGCTGCACAAATCAGTCTTTCAGATGAAATTTATTAATACGACTCAGTAAAAACGTTTTAGTATCATGAAACCACAATATCAACGTCGTTATGTACAAAAGAAAAAAAATAACACCGCCAGCAGAGAGAAAAACCTCGGCCTTGACGTTCACCAATTCACCAAAGTAGGAATTCCCTTCGTCGATGTGACTTGTGTACAAGGGAGTTCATTAAAGTGTTCGCGACATACAACACACGTGGCCTACTTATTATAATATGCGGCTAGCCACACGTACGCGCTACAGTGCTGTAATGGTCCAATTACGCGAGTGTAGGGGCGAGAGACTGCTACTCCGAAGGGACTTTCTCCGAATGTGCACAAGAATAATATGTAAAATTGATCTGCATAGTGGCTTTGAATTTTCCAATACTTCGTGAATGGAAACTTGAAGCTATTGATGGTGGTAATTGAGTGGCAATATTCGAAGCTTTGAAAGTTGTTTATGATTGCGAAACTGCGCGTAAAGATCTTAGATCCGTAGATTTATTATGGAAATTTTATATATGTACTCTTATTACTTCGATTTATGATTTTAACATTTCGTTGAATTGAAATTTGAATTCAATATTATTCATTGAAATAGACAGAATTGAGAAATATTTTCTTGGACTGTATTATTAAGAAACTAGAACTTCTTTCCTTAAAGTTAGAAAAATGTACTTGAATTTATTGCATCATCAATAATAAATCTTAAATAGAGAAATCAAAAAATCATTGTACCTTGTTCATTCTATTAAGAATTGATTCAATTTAATTAAAAAAATTAAATACAATTCCAATTAATTAATACTTTCACATAACAGAAGATAATCAAATAGATTGTTCTTTAAACTCGACAAAATGAATAGCGAAATTATATTGCCACGAGCAATTTCCTAGTTGTAAAATATGAAACGCTTACGCTTATGACTTCATTGGAGTTTGTGGTAATCTTTTTTTCAACGTCTTTCACGAGTACGCGCGCGATGCTATCTTCCAATTTTATGAATATCCTCCGATAATATCGAAGGCAATAGCATTGTAAATACAGAACTCTCACCTGAGCGTGTAAGTGCTCTTAGCATCAATACGAGTTAGCTTTTTGCAGAGTCATCGTTATACAGTGATATTGATAAAGAAACTTGAAGGAAAAGGAAAGATTGTTAAGTAACTGTAAAAAAAAAGGATTTTATAGTTTTCCAATAGTTGAAAATCCTCTCGCGAATTCATTATATGTTCCGTGAACTCTCAACGAATAAAAAACAACTATTGGTAATCGCGCGACAACGATCTGAAAAAAAAGCACTCGAACTAATGAGGTCCGAAAAGTATCTCACGTCTTCTGGAAAAACAATGGCTTCACGAAAGAAAGCAAGTCTATAGCCGAAAACGATTTTTCCTACAGTTGCTTCTTCTTTTTTGTTCGAGCAACACACAGCGCACAGTTATACACTGTATACGAGGGCAGCTGTGGCGCATCGGGCGTTTAAACGCGATGTGTACCGTAATTGTAATTGCGCGAGCTCCAACCTCCCACTATACGTCTCCCGCCTCTCTTTCTTTTTCTAATTACTTTGTGCTATACCTGCTTGCACGAGCGAAAGAGTTCCCCATTGTTTCCTCATTGTGGACGCGAATCCTTTTTTGCTCTGGATTTTTGGTAGAATCTGTAGAAGTTTCGATCTTCGCGAATATTGTTTCACGATGCTTTTGTGAATTTTTGTATTACATTATCGGTTTTAATAGAGATCTTAAGTTAGCAGGATAATGAGTTATACCGTTTGTTTGATTTGGTGTTCGTATTTTCTCTTTTCTTAAAAATTATACTCGAAATTGCGAATACTGAGAAATAAAGTTGCTAGCTACGGTTTTCATTTGTGCCTTAGTTTCAATGATCGAAATCGCTACTCGAGTAATAATTTTTTTACTTATTATGGCGTAATTACACTGTAGATAGTAAATTGCAGAAGATAGAAAAAATATCTCCCAAATTTTTAAATATTTTACAAGTATTTCGTAAAGTTGAAATTTCAAATAAAATTCTAATATTTAATATCTGGTTAATGTTTGGTAGTGTAATCATTTGAAAGTTTTATTGCAACAGGAATTATTTAAATATATAAATTCTGAATCAAAATACTAAAAAAAATTTGTGCAATCCTTCAAAATTTTCTAATACTCTATATCCAAGAACAAATTACGATGAACGTTCGCATACAAGATCCATCATCCAATCTGCCGGAGTCGCGCAATCGAATGTTCCTTTTCTGCCAGCTCCACAGAGGTAACACGAGCAAACGCATGAGACATATTTCGCGGTGAAGGTGGTCTAACGAGTATAGTCCCCCCATAGAGATCGATCTGTCGAGAGCTGCTGCTGCTGCCTTTATTTAGCACGAAAAATAACGATTTACCGTTCGCCTATATATATTGGCAACGTACGGCGCCTCGACTGCTTGTGAACAATAACAAGGCGCATATGTCAATCAATTCGTTAGTTTATTCACGTTTCTGTCGACGCCCGCACACTCGCATTTCCACGTGTATTATACTCGAGTAATTAGATAACCGTGGAGCTTTCTTGCGTTGATTTATACCTTTCAGTTTTGTTTTGCTGAAAGCCGGTTGAACGTCGATTTCTATACCGTCAGCTCGAAATGCATAAGCTAATCTTATCTGGATCTGACGGTCTAGTTCGATTTTTAGAGAAACAAGAAATAAGCTCCTCCCTTTCGATACGAAAATTCGCGAAATCCTAGCGGGAGGCACTTTCGCGCAATATCGCTAATTAGCATACATACTTCCGGTTTCACAGTCAGACACCGTGAACCCGAGAGTCAAGCAGCGTTCCACCGAAAAAAAGGGTCGAGCTTGTAGCAATTAATGCCGATGGTCTTCCAAACGGACGACAAACTCCGAAAACGCATCAACGTCTCTTTGCCGAGCGATGCATTAGCAATGAGCGACATTTCCCACCCTGAGAAACAAGAGACACACGCGTTTCCACTTTGAAGCCAGTGAGACTTCTCCTGCTTCTGGCGTCGCGCGCGACGTTGGAAGGGAGTCTGCACGATAGTACAACAGCAAGAAGGGAAGGCGCTTCTCCCCCTTCCACGGGCTCTCCACAATATTAAACGGCGCGTGGCGGGAAAGGCTCACGCTCGCGCGCAAAGGATCGGGGGCGTTTGGCAGTAAGACGCAGCTCCAGTCCCGATCTAAGTCTCAGCATTGATAGTAGCAGCAGCAACAGCGAGTAACGGCGAGTCACGAAAGGAACCCCGTGAACGAGGAAAACAACAGTGGCTCGAGAAGCAAAGAGAATCGAGCACGCGGTCCAGCGCTGCGCCGCTGATGACAATCAGAAACGAAACTCAGAACTTGATTTGAGATTCGCCGCGAGGACACAGAAAATAAAAGAGAGAGAGAGAGAGAGAGAGAGAGAGAGAGAGAGAGAGAGAGAGCAGCGAGGAACCGTTGGCTTTTGCTGAGGCTCGGGGATGCTGAATGAAAGCAAGGTGAGACGCGCGAACGACAACTTTTGGTATTATTCTATTTTCTAAAGTTCATCTGGTCGATGCAAATATGCAATTGACTTCAGTTTAACAATAACATGATGAAAAAGATAAACCCCAGTGAAAAGGTAATTAATCTTCAGCGATCGATCTAACACACAGCTCACAAAAATCAGCACGCTCGCGAATTAATCTCGCCGTCTTATCTCAAACGACTTGTTCACTAGAACAAAGTATTCTTGACGTTAGAAATACCTCGCCTCTCCGTATTTTTAAAAATTTCATCTTGTTGCGTATCCCGCCGATTACTTTAAAGCGCACGTGAGCATATGTAATTAGCAAAAGGAATTCCAGTAGCTGGGCACTTACGGAATTCGCATAATCGCGATTCGGTGAAGAAATCTCGTTAGGGGCATCTCGTTAGTTGCCGATCATGTGTTTTGATATGGGAAATTGAAAACCTACTTCAGAGATATTCGTATTAGTTAAGTCGCATATAATGCTTGTAGTCATCGCTCTATGGAGAATCGTTCTACAATGCTGATTTATTATAAGATTCGACTAATTGTCATGATCAACAGAACGGGACTTTTCGTTCATTACGTGCATTCTTTTCTTATTTTTTTGTACAAAGAACATTAATTTTAGCACAGTTGTGAAATTAATCATCGCAAGCTACTGCATTTATTAATTGAATCCTAGAAGCAAATAGAGTCTAATGCTCACGATTTATTCTTTTGAATAATGACAATGAGAACAAATATTAAAACAATGAAGTGTATATTCAATTTTCTTCTCGCGCGTACGTCACTATCCATAAGATTGATTTATTAAAATATATTGATAATAATTATCGTTCGATAATTGATGTTTGTTTATCTCTTTGCAATGATTGTCCACAGGATTTCAAGCAAAAGAGATTTGCCGAAGATTGTCTCTCGCTACATGAGCATTGAAAATGAGGCGTGAAGCGACATTGGCCAATTCACAAAAGCGTATTTGACATTGAAAACGACGGTGCAACAGAAGCCATAGCTGGAAATGGGTGAGTTAACCTGGATTCTCTATTGATGTATTCGTCGTGATTTTATGCACTCACAACGGATGCAGTCGTAAAAAAGAAACGTAAAGATGTTTTTTTACTCGAAACTAAAGAGAGAATAAATTTTTGTGCGTGTCGAATGCTTAGATTACTTAGATTAACGGTCGACAGGCAAAATGTGGAAAAAGTCAGCGGCAAATTCATACTAAAAAGCTCGCGAGCAATCGGGGCAGAATACAAATTACGAACTTTCACGAAAACGGGTAGCTTCAATCAGGCGGAAACCTAATATCGCGGACAACACCTAAATCGACGGGATTTGCGTCGCTTGTGTTGCGCATGCAAAAACTTCAATTAAAATCCGAGAAACGAAGAGGAAGAGTGCTCGCAGCTTATCTGGCGTTTAAATGAACGAGAAAAATTGAGGACGAAAGAAAAAAAATACGCGTCGACGATAAAGAAAAGGTAATGCTCAAAACTGAATTTGATGGTGCGTAAAGTTTCGTTGCGAGATGACGACGATTATCGCGATTATTGTCGTGAGAAGTCGACTTTCTTTTAGCGAACTTGAGATGAAAGATAACTGCAATTTTTTTTCGCCGATTCTCGGAAAAATATTCAATAGGCGTTGTTGCGTTAGTCCATCGTTTTTCTAGCATTTTGAACTCTCTTTAAGAAGAAATACCGCACGCAGTTAGAAAATTCCAGGTCCACTTTCGAATAAACTGATATCCATCTATCAAACGATCATCCATCAAAAAGTCGGTACGCATGAGAATAGCAAAACTATGCAAAGATCGGCAGTTTGTTATCCCTAACATTGATAAAGCATTGTATTCATTGCGCGATCGTCAGTCGTCGTCAATGACACTTGACTTTCGCTGTAGATTGCTGAAAATTCGTCTACGTCTGAATTGGCATACCCACCGCCAATCGCGGGAACGTAGGCCAGCATTGATTAACCATCGACCAAAATTATGGCGAAGCTTGCGAACACTGCGTATCAGCAAGTCGGGATCGAGGTCGCGCGTATGCCTTAGAGAGTCTTGCATAGTTCTGTGCGCACCTGTTGCTGTTTTCCTCTCAATCCTAGTTTAGTTTAGTTTATGCATTTTCGCGGTACAACAACGCTGGAGATTTAATTCGGTCGTATAACAAAAACTGCAAGCGTTTCCGGCTGAACGAGGCTGCAAGATGCGCGCATCTTTCGCCTTCTCATTATCATTTCCGATGAGCCGGATACGAACGCCTCGAATAACGACGGTTATTCGAAATTTTCTCGAAAATTACCATAGCTGCTCGAGAACGCCCGCGCACTTGATACGGATCGCGAAGATGCCTGTGAGATTACACGTTTCACGCCCGAGCGATTCTGTCCGTGAGATTTAGCTAGCGCCCGCTTCACATAGACAAATTCCAAGCTGTTCGCGCGAGGAAACCGAAACAAACATTTTTCAATTGATCGACGACGCGCGCGCGCTCTGAAATGCCGACAGGTGGGCCGGCCTGACAAAGCCAATGATAAGCCACGGTGTGGCACTCTGTAATTACGGCGCGCGGGCAGTAATCGATGAAGCGCCGCCACGGCATCTCTTCTCCTTTTCCTGATGAATATCCTGCCACTATGCGCGAGAAAGTATGCTATTAAGCTTGTTTTTATTTTCTGTCGTGGCCGATGGCGCGATGACGGTCGGAATAGATTCACTTGAACGACGAAGGGACAAGTTCTCGGTTGTTGTCAACCTGGCAACGATCTTCTCGGTGGACAACGTTCCGTGCTTGACAGTTATTACACTCTAGTATCAATTTTTTAACGGCCAAAGTGAGTACATCGCGCTCAAGTAAGCTACAGTAATTCAGTTAATTGTCTTCCTCTGGAAAGCATTGTGATTAGAAAGTGTTAATAACAGTGATGTACGAAAGATAATTATGAATCAAAAACCGCTTCATAACAGTTATAATCCAATTAAAGATAGTATTTATAAATCGATGAGTCGACAACAAACACACGCCGAAACAGCGGTACTTAATTGTTTGATCATACAAAAGCTGCCTTTTTTCATTGTGAATATACACATACATTTCCTTTGTAAGTGTAGGGGGAGGGAGGAGGCATGACCGCACAGGTGAATTTTGCGGTTATTTTTGTGGGTCGCGGCGCCCTTTTCTTCTTGGGAGATGTTTACGATTCCTTAGAGAAGCCGTTGTAGGCGAGTATTCCTCTCTTGCCTTTGTAATACGGAGATGTTTATCGCAACATTTACATAGTTTTTTTAATTGCGATAGACGATTTTTTTTCCGGAATCAATAGGTGAACGCATATAGTTATGGAGTGTCGCGACAGGTTTTTGCGCGCGAGGTGTGACGAATCGCTCACCTTCTTCTCTTATTAACTAACAAATATAACCGTCAGTGTTTCCTCCAACAAAATTATTTCCGCTACAGCCATTTGAATGAGCTGTGCGGAAAAATTAATAATTGCCAATTTTTCTCCGACATACAAACACGTTATAATGTGCTCGCGTGCAAAGCAAATAATCATAAATAAATAGAATAAGCCGCAGGTGCGGGTGGCCCCTTGCCGATCCTATTGTATCGTATGTATACATCGCGGCTCGGAAGAAGATAATTTCCAATGCACATTGCTTTTGGCTCCTTGTTTTCTCACGCTTGCTTTTTAACTGCATTGTAATCTTGGAGAAACGATAGAGCAGCTGTTTTTGACCTTGTTTGCGTATGATAATGTTGGCTTTCCGCAAATACGCCTGAGTTTGTTCTGTTTGTGAAGACTCGTGATGTTAACTAGCGAAAATAACTAAAGTGTACTCTCTAAACTATTATAAAACGCTGTAATTACACGCAATCAATTATCTGCACAAAAAAATGGCAGTTGAGCGTTCACAAACAACTGTAAAATCAGCTCCAGCTCTCCAGCTATGTCGTTATCCCCGTCTTCAAAATCGACTTTGCTTCGTTTTATTTATTTACTTTTTCGCTGCACCTGAGAACTATTGTCTGTATATATACAGAGAGGAAGTATGCAGTAGCTGTATAAACCGGTAATTCGTGCCACTCGCACGCGATTATATTCCGCACTACGCTGATTTTAACGCTTCTCTAACGATCGGTTGACGCACTATCCGCGCGAGGCTATTTAAAGTAGACATATCGCGGTAATGTATATGATTAGGCGACATGTGGAACACGCGTGAATCGATTACACGAAAATAAACAACAGCGACACATGGACATTTTGTAATGAAAAGCGTAATAAGCCGGTTGATCAGGAGGACCAGACGTTCACTTTAGCTCCGCGCGGAGATTTTCACGCGGTGGCGCGTAACGACCGGACGCCAAATTGCATTTCCGTCATTGTCCGTTTTGCAAAAGAAGATGCTAAAATTGGTCGAGCCCTCCAAGCAACTATCCCGTACTTGTACTCTAATTGCGTATCGTTCTCGCGCTCGGTATAATTTTCCGTCGTCTTATTACCCGCGTGAGGGTAATTAACGAGACGAGGTGGAGGTTAAAAACAGGAGGGAAATTTTCTTCGAGCGAAAGTATAGGGTAAGAAAGGCACGGGGATAATTTGCGGGCAAGAGACAATTGGGACGTACACGTTGTGATTGTTGTGGATTACTTTTCTGGCCGAGTGTGCGTTGCGCGTATGTATGCCATTGTTTCGAAGAACACTTTTTATTATTTTTTCAAGTTTACGATTTAATTATGCTGGCTTTCTTCTTTATGGCTAAGAATCGCACTTGACGGACGACTTTTTTGATGCAAAGGTTTTAATATTTAGTGATTTATGTGCTTTTTTATTATTGAAGATTGCAAGGTAGTTCTTTTTTGTTATTGTTGCGTTGCAAGCTTTGCGTTTGAATGTGGATAAAAAATAACATTTGCTTCGAACCAAAGAAATTTAACGTTCAGAGACAATATTCTGCATGATATTTCAATTTAGCTACTACTCAACGTAAAAATAAACGCAAGAATTATGAAATTATTGATTAAACACTCAATTTTATTATAGCGACACTCTTGAAATGAAGCGAGTAATGAGCATGGAATGCTGCAAAAGAATGAACAATCCACGGATCGCAAGCTATTTCATTGCGACTCTCGTAATTTCCTCTCGTTAGTGTACGATTGCACACACAACTTGCAAAGTGGTTGGTATAGCGGAAGTTGGTTCTTCACACGCGTGCGAATGCGTTTTCAAATATAAAAGAAGAGAAAGATCGTCCGATCGCGTATATAGCTTCAGATGGCGCCTACTTTACCCACTTAATCAAGGAAGTTTTGCATACAGTGACTGCTTTGTGTCAGATGATAAAGTACGTGGAGATAAAAACTTAATATTTCGATAATACGACGTAAGTGCCGTTTTAAATTAAAAATAAGAAAGGGAGAAAAGAGAGAGTGGATTATCTGTTGCAGCTCTGGTTTACACGAGTAACTGTTAATCGACGTGTGTGCACGATACTTATGAGCGTCGATAATTCGCTGAAAAGATCTCACTGAATTTTGACCTTGTTTGCATATGATAATTTTAGATTTTTAGCGTGAATTTTGATTTGCTCACTGCTACTTTCTTTCTTCTTAATGAAATTCTATTTTCTGCTCTAATAGTAAGAGGCAATAAACGTAACTTGACTATGATCTAATAAGTGATGAACCTAAAAGCCTTGACGACATAAACATAAAGCCATAAATCGTGCGTGGGGTAGAGAGAAGAGAATGCAAATGACGACTCGCGATTCCATTGTATTATAATGGGGCGAAAAATCGAAAATAGCTTCGGAATAATCGTCTCTTTTTCGAATGGCGCTGAAAGTCAAAAGCGCGACATTCATATCGACGTTTTCATATACACTTACCGTTAGAAAATTGTCGTCAAATTGCCTACTGTCTACGTAAGCACATACTACCGTCGTCTTTGTGCCGTAATGAAGTTTATGTAGATAAAATCAATCGAGTTTACTGATATATAACAGGAGATG